TCAGAATAATTACCAGCGGATCTTGGGCCTAAACAGAACAAATCCATGCGGTTTTTTTTTTGTAAGTTTGCGGTCTTTTAAAATTTAGGACCGGCTCTAATAATTATTTGCGATAAACCGATAATCACTTGATATTTATTATAAGTGGTTAATTAATAGAGACTTTTAACACCTACAAATTCAAAAAGTGTAATAGTAAAGTCCAATAAAAAAAACATTTATCTACTCAACAGTCATAAAGCTATCAAATCTATTATCTATATAGTTGTGTCTATGGTCATTTAACTTATTTAATTTGTCACATTTCTTTAGCGATTCTCTTGTGCGTTCTTTTCTGTGAGACATTTCGAGTTAAAACAGGAGAGATCATCAATGATCTTTTTGACTTTCTTTGTCGGTGTGTGGACATTAGACACAAAGCATTAGAAACGAGCACGTGAATTCACTTTTGTGTTAGTCAGTGCTTTTGACACGTGGAAGTTTACTGGATATTTCTATAATTTTTTCACTACCACTAAACACATACGATACGAGCAAGTGGCCGCCGTGACGACAACGGAGTCTTTTTTTTAAAGAATATTTACTCTTTTGTGTTCTGTGGTTTTGAACCTTTAAAAACTAGAACTTAGAGTTAATAAAATAAAGATTAGTAAAATAAAACACCTAGTTAATTAAACATTCAGGTGCTTTACTTCATCAGTTGTTGTTGTTGTACAGACGATAAACTACAAAAGTTACACGTTCGAACGGGAAAACAATACAATGGTTTGGTATGGTATGGTAAAATTATTTCACTAACTAAATATGTATATCACGAGTGTTTCTGTTCTTTTAAAACCCCCCAAGTATTAACTTGTTTTTTTTTGTTTTTTGAAAAAGAAGTATTAACTTGTTTATGGTGGATTTTGTAAGTTTAATCTCGTAAAACTATTTCACATATAATGTGTTTTTTCTTTATTTAACAAAACAATTTTTTTTCCCTAGTTTTTACCGGATGGAATTCATACGTACAACAGTTTGCAACTGCAACGCTACATTGCCCCTAGATTCGAATTGTGAAGTGAGAGTAAAAACAATAGTTAAAAGTAGTCACATCAACAATTTCTATGGGTTTCAAAAATAAATAGAGAGATTTTAGAATTTCAATTGAAATATAGTTAAAATTTTTTTTGTTTTACACATATATATATATGTATTATGGAGTTCGAGTTCCGGAAAATATAAATGATAATAGAATCAAAATTTACATGTTCATGATAGTCTCTACTTTGGCAGAGATGCGGACGTGCTCTTGTGGCCATAAAGTTTTTAGTGTAGTGCAAGAAGAGTTGTCATAATTAGTTCTGCATGTTAAGGCTAAAATTAATCGTCCGTGTAA